GGGCTGGCATAGTAGGCCTGGGGATCGAACCCCTGATCCCTGTACCTGCTTGCAGGTGCTTTAATCTGCTGAGCTATTTGGCTGGCCCTGCCCTCCATGTTATGAATTAGGTACCATTACTCCTAATACAGAGATGAGGAAATTGAGTTCAGAGAGAACAGATTGCTGCTCACCACAGTCACAGCTAACAGGTTCATAGTTCCCTGATGGAACTCGATCTTTAAGTGGCAACTCCCATGCTCCTTTCTACCGCTCTACTAGAATGGGATGACAGGGCTTAGGTTTGAGTTGGGAGATCCATCCCCATGCTGGACAGAGTCACTGCTTGTAGAGTTCACTCCTGGTTGTCTGAACCAACAGGCACTCTGGCACTTTTTGTTGGAACAGTTTATATGTTTAATTTCCTAGCAATACCTGTAGCTAAAGGTGCTCAAGCTTGGCTCAGGGAGGTGCAGCCTGAGGCCTGCTGGCATGGGGCTGAGTGTTTCGACACATATACACCAACACTGACAGTTCCTGGCCACATGCCTTGGATATGGTCTAGTAGTCTGCTAGTGACGGTGAGGGGAAAGCAGGAGGATGGCAAATACACGGTCCCAAACAGTGCTGGATCTAAAGCAACACTGTGGCTGCCCCCTCCAGCTAGTTGTTATGTGAGAACTAAAGCTCTTGTTAGTTTATGCTGATGCTGATTTGGCCTTCTCTTGTTCACACAAGAAGCACCCTCAAGAGATACAACAAGAAGCCAGAGACTGCCACACACTTGTGCCAACAATAAAGTAACGCACAGGCCTCCCTTTGTATCTGCAGGGAATTGACTCCCGGTCCCCTGAGGCTATCACAGCCCGAGGATGTACAGGTCTGTTACATAAAATGGTGTAGTATTTGGGTAGAACCTATGTGCACCCTCCTGGACACTATAAATCATCTCGCAATACACACACTGGACATATGCAATGGACATATCTTGTGAATAGTTGTGCTGTAGGGTTTAGGAATAACGACAAGGAAAGAAGTTTGTATACATCCAGCATAAATTTTTAAAAACATATTTTTGATCTGTAGTTGGTTGAATCCATGGGCTTAATGCTCACAGATGTGCAGGGCTACTTTATGGAGTTGGATGTTGACTTCTTGTAAGGTTTACTGGGCATTTCTTTTAGATAAAGTTTTTCTTGTGTGATCTGATACCTCAGTCTTCACTTCTTTATATGTAGATGTATTTGTCTTTCTGTGATTATCAGCCTTTCAAAGCCTTTACTATCATGTCTGTTGGACTCCAGGGTCCACCAGGCTTACAAAAGTGTCTAAGGAGTCTGTCCTCAGGGATGCGCTGGTACCAGCCTGGCATCTTGAAAACTTTCCCCACATATGCAGCTCGGCCTAAGCTGGGGCACACAGCAACTAGGCTGCTTTCCACCTTCATCACTGACTTGTGTGTGGGTTTGGCTGGAGTCCTATCCATGTAGATGACATTTTTGCCCTTGTTACCCCATGGCTTTGGCTGTATGTTATTATTTTCAGGGTTGTGAACCACAAAGATGATCATTTCAAGTAAAGGGCTATGGCCAAGAAGATAGCTCAGTGGCATAAGTGATTCCCTGGCAAGCACAAGATCTTGAGTTAGATCCCCAGTACCAAAAAAAGAAGAATCAAGTAAACTGTTATGACCATATGTTTCTGTGGCATTTCCTTTTTGATCATGGTCCTCTCCTCTCTTCTCCTCTCCTCTCCTCTCCTCTCCTCTCCCCTCCCCTCCCCTTTGCTTTCCTCCCCTCTCCTCTCCTCTCTTCTTTGTCTTCATCTCTCTTCTTCTTCTTCTTCTTCTTCTTCTTCTTCTTCTTCTTCTTCTTCTTCTTCTTC